TTTTTCCCAGATTTTGGTCAATTTTTATCAATTTTTGACAAGTTTTTTCTCCAGATTTTGTCTTTTTATTGTTCTGACTCCCACTGATGTCAGCTGTCGTTGTGTCCTTGGGCAAGACACTTAACCCCACTTTGCCTGAAGCCCGCACTGAATTGTCAAGTCTCCTGTGGACTCAGCACCTGCAGGAGGATCAGTGAGGGGCTGGGTCTCTGGCCACCCCTCAACCCAGAAATGGATTAAGGGGAAGAAAATGGATGGATTGTTCTGGGTTTTTTTCTAGATGTTTTATTTTTATTTTTATTTTTTCTAGATTATTTCTCATTATTGTCCAGTTTTGTACATTTTTGTCCAGTTTTTGTCTCGTTATTGTTCCTTTTTTTCCAGATTTTGTCTCCTTTCTTTCCTGTTTTTGTCCAGATTTTGTCCAGTTTTGTGGGAGCTCAAATGACTCACATTAACCACGACTTCTCAGAGTTCAGTGAGGCTGAGAGGAAATACTACACATTATTGTTGGCCATCAATCATGATTACATGTCCTGTTCTTATTTTCTTGTTAATGTTTTGTCTCTTTATTGCCATGAATCCTCTCTCATTGAGGTGGCCCAGATTGAGAGAGGGATCTGCACAGACAAACAGACTGTAGATCCAGGACTCAGACTGACCTCTTTGTAAACTTGATAAAAGGTGAAACAACAAAATTCAAAGTTAAGTGAGGCTGCGAGCAAATCTTACACATAAAATATCAAAACATGTCAAAATGTTTATTCAGTTTTTGACTAGTATAAATGGAAATAGAGATAATGAGTAAAAATCCCCCGAGGCCTTGACTCTAGTGGTGGAAGCTCGGGGAAGGCTGAAAGAGCTGGTCCAGCCAACGAGGTGGTGATGGGGAGGAGGAGGGTTGCTGCATGGGTGAAAGCTTCCTGTTCAATATCAGGGCTTGCAGACAGTGTGGAGGAGGACGGGGAGAGCAGCTTCTGTGTCCAGGCTATACATCTTCAGCACAGAGGAGATTTTAACTCACTCACAAACATCTATTTGACAACAACACAGTGAGTGGTTTGGGCGTGAGGTCAGCTGCACAGGTAAACACACACACGTACACACACGTACACACACAAACACATACACATGCACACACAAACACACACACTCGCACGCTTCCTCATTCCAGCGCCGTGATGTGACATGCTGAGGTTTGGCACTGAGCCTGGTGTGTGTGCGTGTGTGTGTGTGTGTGTGTGTGCGTGTGCCTTTGGACCACAGCCATCTCCTGTTGATCCGGTCTGTCACAATGGCCCCGCCCGGCTCCCGCTGACTCAAAACACACCGTGCTATTCCGGGCCGCGTCCCTATTAGGGCAAAGCTCAAGTCCCCACTGTGCAAACAAGTCCACGCACACACACACGCACTCACGCACACAGACACACAAACACACACGCACACACACACACACACACACTCACGCACACACACACACACACACACACACACAGTTACGCACACACAGACAAGACAGACGACACACACACAGATGTGCTTTGAGACTGCTCCCAGTGACAGATCAGCTGGAACATCCTCTCACTGCTCATACTCAATACTTAAAGCTGGGGTACCTGACTTTTTTTGACTCTTGTAGAAGTAAAATGTTAGACCGAAAACAAGCCGTTTTCATCTTTTTCTGCACACTGGCAAGAAAAAGCCCTGTGAGTCACTTTTTGACTCTCTGGGCTGAGAGCTGATTGGCCGAGGGAGGGTGGTCTTCTCTGTTTCACTTTTCTGTCTAAAATATAAGATTTTGGTCCAAGTTCTAGTCCCATTTTTTTGTCCAATTTTGGACCAATTTCGTTTCAATTTTCATTCAGCTTTGTCATGATGTTGTTCTGTTTTTGTATAGTATTTATTTAGTTTTTTGTCTAGTTTTTGACTTGTTATTGCCCATTTTTGGTCCCATTTTTGCCAACTGTTTGCCAAATTTTTGTCAAGTTTTGATCCCAGTTTTGGTCCAGTTTTGGTCCTGTTTTTGACTCATTGGTACTCATTGGTCTTGGTACAGAGACCTCTTTAAACGCCACATATTTTTCCCCGAACTGTTTTTTGCGCCGTGTTGTTGACGTTCTAGAAAAATGAAATCTCTGAATCAGCCGCAGAAGTGGGTCAGGTACAGCGAGGCCGGAGTCAGCTGAGCGGCCGTGTGCGTCCACTCAGTCCTGTTTCCACTTCCTCTAATCTCATCAGGACCAGTTCAGAGCCCAACCACCACACCGCAGAGATTCAAAGACTGAGGGGGGAGCGACGGTGGGACTTCAGCCTTAACCCAGCTTTGGTCTGTGTCTACTCCAACTTTGCTCCAACTTACTTCCAATAAATGCAAACTTATTCTTCTTTAAAATCTACAAAATGTCATGTGTTTGGTTCCTGTGAAGCCGATTTAATTTCAGTTTAGCTGACTTGTCGATTCACCAACACAGATCAGAGAATCAAACAGTTTAAAGGAGCAGTATGTAAAAATCTGGCCAAAAGTGGTATTGCAGCCTCTCCCACTCGCCCTGACTCAGGTTGCCAGATATGCAGACGAATCCAGCTGGGACCATAACAGCTGAATAGACAAGAGTTTTGTCAACAACAAATCTAAAACCAACACCTTTTTCACAAAGATAGAAATCCTTTTTTTTATTCCTTGTTTTGTCGTTAAGGATTTGAGAATCATAACAAGACCTTTTTGAATACCGCGCCCACATACCAGTGAGATTAGCTGTGAGTTCTGGCAACCTGGATCACGGACTCTCTGATTGGTAAAACGGTGGAGGGCGGGACATCAAAAGACCATGTTTTATTAATGCCTTTTGACAGATAGGGCCCTTTAATGATGGCTTGACACAAAAATCTTAAATATTGCTCCTTTAAACACAAGAAATGCAATGATCAAAAACATATAGAGCCATTGGTTCATAAGGAGCAGACACCAAAGTCCAAAAATGTTGAAAAATGTCCGAAAATGTCCACCCTCTCCATCGGGAATGAAAAACTCTGGGAGGTTCATTGTATCACTACTGTCTGTGGTTGGTTGATTTTAAAGCCCCTCTCCCTGATTTCTACCGCTGTACTCTGGTAAACATGGACTACTGTATTTCCAGTGGAGTTAAGTCTCTTCTCAAACTCACGGGACATTTCCGCTCTGACGGCAGCAGAAGTCTAAAGAGATCCAGATGCTTTTCCACAGAAGTCTCTCTCTCTGTGACTCTGCAGAGAGAAACACACAAGAGACACACACAAGGACACACAGGAGACATACACAAAACACACAAGACAAGACACACTGTTAATGATGTGTTACTGACAATACTGTTTCTATAAAATTTATGAAATAATACAGAATCACTAAAATAGAATAAGAACTAATTGTGTGTGTATTTTGTGTGTATGTGTCTGTATAGTACTTGCATGTCTGTGTGTATTTTGTGTGTATGTGTGTGTATAGTTTGCGTGTGTCTGTCTTTGAGTACCTTGTGTGTGTGTGTGTGTGTGTATGTATGTGCGCGTATTGTATGTGTTTGTCTGTCTTTGTGTACTTTGTGTGTGTGTATGTATGCATGTATAGTATAGGTGTGTGTTTGTCTGTGTATATTTTGTGCGCATGTGTATGTATGTATGTGTGTGTATAGTATGTGCTTGTTAGTGTGCATGTATACTATGTATGTATTTGTGTGTGTATATAGTAAGTTTGTGTGTATGTGTGTGAGCTATTGTGCTGGATTCAAAAAAGGTACACAACTGCACTTGTCTGATGACTCTTGGGAGCTACAAAGGTGTGTGTGTATCTTCCCAACCGACGGAGTGACTGAGTGTGACATCACCACAGTGTTAGCCTGAATGCGGAAGAAGCTGATTTGAACATAAGCTAGCTGGAGACAAATTCCTTATAGGGGCATTTGTTCAGAGGGCGTTCGCTTCCTGCTGTAACATGGGCCCATGTGTTGCTAAGACGGTTGCTAAGGCAAGATAGAGTTTTGCCTCCAATTCAGGCATCTGATTGGTCAACCCTTATATCTAGATTTACAAGACAATATCACAACAACCCTAACCCAACAACCACCATGATCACAGAGAGCGCTAAACCAGGACTTTTTAAGCCCGAAATGGTGAATGTGACATAAACATTGACTGAGCAAGAGGAGTTTACTTTTACATGTGAGTCAATAGGAGCCAGAGATTCGTCCATGAGCACTTCCCTGTTGGGCTTCTTTGAGCTAGCGTGTTAGCATTGTCCATCTGCTCACAGTCATAATGCTGTTACTCCACTCTGACTCCTCTTCCTTAGTACTCTGGCTAACCTCCGCTCTCCACAATAACCCTTTCTTCGGGCCCTAATGCTCTGTTATGTTTCCCTGGTGTGTGTGTGTGTGTGTGTGTGTGTGTGTGTGTGTGTGTGTGTGTGCGGTTCGGAACTAGCGCTATTTTAAACTTTGGATATTTGGTGGAACTTTCCCTGCAAAAGATCAGTGGAAAAGTGAGAGCTGAGGACCTGATGATTGATGAACGGAGAATACTTTTGTGGGGACTGAGACAGAGAGAGACCAGAAAGACAGACAAGAGAGAGAGACCATAGAGAGAGACCAGAGAGAGAGACCAGAGAGAGAGGCCAGAGTGAGGGACCAGAGGGAGGGGCCAGAGAGATGCGTATTCCTCCTTGCTATTTCAAATAAAAATACCATCAATGATTTTCAACAATTGAATAGAGAATATACAGAATACAGCCCTGTTTACACCAGCCCTACTCTACTCTACTCTACTCTACTCTACTCTACTGTTCTCTCTACTCTAACCCGATTGGTAGCGTTCCTACTGCACTATTTAACCAGTACAAGGTCCTTTTTTAGTCCATCTTGGCCCTAGTTCTTTCCAGCTCGTTCTAATTGACAAAGATTGCACAGAGTGTTGCACGGTAGAGGAGAGTAGAGTAGAATAGAGTAGAGTAGAGTAGAGTAGAGTAGAGTAGAGTAGAATAGAGTAGAGTAGAGTAGAATAGAGTAGAATAGAGTAGAGTAGAGTAGAGTAGAGTAGAGTAGAGTAGAGTAGAATAGAGTAGAATAGAGTAGAGTAGAGTAGAGTAGAGTAGAGTAGAGTAGAGTAGAGTAGAGTAGAGTAGAGTAGAGTAGAGTAGAGTAGAGTAGGACTGGTGGGAAAAGGGCCTATATATTTTTAATATTCTTTCTCGCTGGTGCATGTGTTTTGAACTATGAGCACAGATCGCCCCAGCTGCAGATTCTCCTCTGTGTGTGTGCGAGCAAACAGTTAAAAGCAGTGAGAGGAGAGAAAAAGGGGAGAGCGAGAAGGAGGGAGGGAGGAGGTGTGTTTGGAGGCGGGACCACTGCGCTCCAGCTCCAGCTCTGCAGAAAGCGCGCAGTGCCTTCTCCTCAGCCTCAGAGGCAACTACTCCCACGGTACTCCCGACACGACCGTCCCCCTCACCCTCACCCCCTCAAGCCCTCACCCTCACCCTCGCCCTGGTCCTATTCCCTAGACACAGGAGCAGGACAGGGGGCAGCATGCCGGTGGTTGGAGTGGCGTCCAAGCTGAGGCAGCCCACCACCACCAGGCCAGTCCACACGGCTCTTCCCATCCCCAGCGCGGTGAGGCGGGAGCTGGGGACGGGACAGGGGTCGGTCCAGCTCAGCTCCTTCGCCGGTCTGCTGTCGGGGAAGCCGGAGAAGGTGAAGCCAGAGAGGAGCGGTGCAGGAGCTGCGTTTGTGGAGGGGAGACGGAAGGGGGAGACGGAGGAAGGCAGGATCTGTAAGGTGAGTGTGGAGAGAGAGCTACAGGTGGATGCAGATGTAAGACTGAGATTAGTTCAATCTGGAGAGACGCAAACAGACAAAACAGAAGTTTCATTAGACTTTTATTTTGGTCTGTATTTACCTGACACTGTATGTTTTTTTATTTATCCTTTATTCCAGTTTTCCCAAACCTTTTTGAGCTGTGGCTTTTTCATTTAAAACTATATCATGGCAAACCATCAGCTGAAACTGATACAAACTGATGTAACCCTGCCGCCTTTATTGACAAAAACAAGTCAATCTCATCAAAGTGTATTAGTAAGAAAATCAGAAATGAAAGGAAGTATTTCTCATTATTTCTTTTTTCACATTATTTTGCCCAAATAGGTGATATTGGATCATTTCCCAATAAGGCACACTGAATAATATCTCAAGGCACACTGTAGTTCCCCGGCCCACTGGTTGAAAAACACTGCTTCTTTTCAACCAGGAAAGTCCCATTGAGATTAAGCACCACTTTTTCAAGAAGCCCTGGACCTGTAAATCAGAACATACAACTCTGAGCACAATATCTGCTTGATTACATTTATTGCATGCTGTACGAGAAATGTGGTAAAGATTTGGCGCCTAGACCCCGGCAGAGCGCTGTGACCGTTGTAGAAGGGGAAATGGACCCGTCGGGCCTAGATCCTGGTGGTGGGAGCTCAGAGAAGGGTGAGCCGGTCCTGGGTGAGGCGGAGATTGGGGAGGAGGAGGGTTGCTGCTTGAATGAAAGCTGCTGCTTGGATGGGGCTTGATGCAGAGGACTTTGAGCACAGCGAGCTTAGTTATTCCAGTCTTGACGCCTGATTTTATTCAATCATTTGGAGAAGAAACTGTTATTATAATTCCGTTTCCACCAGCCCAACTTGGCCCTGCTCAACTTGGCTCTACTCTACCTGGTTGTGTTTCCATTACCCTTCATTATCTGGTTCTGTATCCAAGCAACCAACCTATAACAAATCTGTATCCGATGATAATCCCCGGCAGAAACCTGTATAGTTTAGAACACTTTAGTACCTGCTCGGTCTGGACAGAACCAGGACCAAGAGGGACTGAAGAAGGAGAATCAACAGTTCAGACAAGTTGTTCAGATCGGCTTCTTCCGCATTGAGGCTAACGCTTTGGTGATGTCACACTCAGTCCACTCCTCACGTACGCTCTGTGGTTAAAATACATACATTTAGAGTCATTTCTGTAACTTAGTAGATTCTGAATACTGGCAACGTTGGAAAGTCTAGGTGATGCTGAGTTCTACATGTATTTGTTGCAGACTGTTTATTGATGGACAATGCTAACCCTGCTAGCATGTTCATGGTCCTGGACTGGTTCTGGTTCTGGTCCGAGTCAGTTTGTTGCCTATCTTTTTCTAAGAGCAACTCCTTAATGTTTGCACATTTTTGGTCTCCATAACTTTGTAACTTTTCTGTCTCTATATGTCGTGTATTTCTATGCCATTAGTTTTATTATTTCTTCTTCTCTTTTGGAATGAATTAATACCTTTTATTAGTTACCATAGCAACATAATGTTTACTTGCTACGAGTTAGCCTTTGGTTAGCATTTCAACAAACTGCTTCTAGCTGTATTCAAAATTACATTAACCAGTTTTATCACTCAGTAAAGGAAAAAATAAAATACAGTATATATTCCTTACTTTTTATTCACCTGTCCAAAATGTTTTGATACTTTGGAGTAATTTCCCAGAATTCCATTGGTTTGAATCAGAGCTGTCAAGATGACGGCTCTGGACCTGGTACTGGTTAAACAGGACCAGTGGAAACACTCCCAATCAGAGGAGAGTAGAGTAGAGTTGAGTGGAGAAGAGTAGAGAGAGTATAGCCTATAGAGTAGAGTAGAGAAGAGTAGAGTATACTAGACTATAGAGTAGAGTAGAGTAGAGTACAGTAGAGTAGAGTAGACAGAGTATAGCCTATAGACTAGAGTATAGCCTATAGAGTAGAGTAGAGTAGAGTAGAGTAGAGTAGAGAGAGTATAGCCTATAGAGCAGAGTAGAGTAGAGTACAGTAGAGTAGAGAGTAGAGAGAGTATAGCCTATAGACTAGAGTATAGCCTGTAGAGTATAGTAGAGTAGAGTAGAGAGAGTATAGCCTATAGAGCAGAGTAGTAGAGTAGAGTAGAGTAGAGTAGAGTAGAGTAGAGTAGAGAGTATAGCCTATAGACTAGAGTATAGCCTGTAGAGTAGAGTAGAGTAGAGAGAGTATAGCCTATAGAGCAGAGCAGAGTAGAGTACAGTAGAGTAGAGTAGAGAGAGTATCGCCTATAGACTAGAGTATAGCCTGTAGAGTATAGTAGAGTAGAGTAGAGAGAGTATAGCCTATAGAGCAGAGTAGAGTAGAGTAGAGTAGAGAGTAGAGTAGAGTAGAGTAGAGTAGAGTAGAGTAGAGTAGAGTAGAGTAGAGAGAGTATAGCCTATAGAGAGAGTATAGCCTATAGAGTATAGAGTAGAGTAGAGTAGAGTAGAGTAGAGTAGAGTAGAGTAGAGTAGAGTAGAGTAGAGTAGAGTAGAGTAGAGTTTTCTCTTCATACATCTTCCAAACATTATAGAATATAGAATTTTCCCAGAATTCCATTGGTTCCAATCAGAGCAGTCAAAAGTAGTTTCATACTTGTGGGAACGGGGTCGGCCCGATGTTCCCCGGGTCCGATGTTCCCCGGGTCCGGTGTTCCCCGGGTCCGGTGTTCCCCGGGTCCGGAGTTCCCCGGGGCGGGGAACACCGGACCCGGGGAACATCGGACCTTCCAAACGCCGGAGGGCCCGGTGTTCCCCGACTGCGGGCCTCGCTCATAGACATGTTATTGCTGCGCGCGGATAATGGAGCAACAAGCGGCTTTCGCTCATAACTAGTCTAGGGCTACTGAATACTTTATATTATAAGGCTTATAAGGCTTGTAGATCTCGCATTGTAGTAGCCAACTACAGTTTTCCAACCTACCACCTCAGAATAAGAACGTGTTGCAGATAAGAAAAGTAAAATTAGCTCCACCACCTTTTCTTTTTGGAAACATATCTCCCTCCGTTCATCCTCGCAACAGTATATCGGTGCCAGGTTTGCAATTTTGGGTAGGCCTGCAGATTAGTAAGTAGGCCAAATTCGCTTGCAAACTACAAGGGCTAACTGGAATTGGGGTTTCAAAGAATATGGTTCAAACGCACACACGCACACACACGCACTCACGCGCGCACATACACACAAGCTCATTTATGAAACTTGCGTAGAAAAAGTACATTTTGGGTGTATATTCCATTTACGCAATTTGCCAAAATGTTTTGATACATTAGAAAAATCCTTCTTGAATTGTAGAAGTGAATAAATATAGATTGATTGAATGAATTAATTAATTCATATATATTATGCAGCGGTGGCTCTGAATGAAGCGTCTGCAGCGTCTTGGACGCAGCCTGGCTCGGGGTAGAAGTGCGCATTGAGGCGCTATACACTTCAGAGAGCGTTTGCGGTCCAGATTTCACAAAGAAACTCTGGAGCCAAAACTTCTGCACATGTGGCGCGACCTCTCACGGCACTCGCTGCGCACTCTGGACAGGGCAGTGAGACGTTTGAGTGAGCAATACCATCGATGCGTTATTGGGGTGTGTGTCTGTGTGAGGCTTACACAAATCTAATGAAATAACACATTGCTTTACCAGATGTGAATGAGGAATACAAATAGCCGTGCGTAATTACGCAGCGCAGAGCCTGCCACAGCAATAGATGGGTCACACATCCCTGTTGCGTAAAGTGTATTTATATAGAGCCTTTCACAGGATCACAAAGCGCTTCACATTTTAAAAACATACAGATCAAAATAATACACACACAAGTCAGATTTAATAGAGGGTCCTCATCATGAGCTGTGATTTATTCGAAGTTTGCGTGTTTCCATTAGACTTTTTCTGATGCGCAAATTCAAATTTTGAAACATGATCCTCAATGAAAACACAGCATATAATTTTGCCAGAGGGAATATGTTTATTGTTGTACATATCTTGAATTTCATGCGTGCTGTGCCGAAGGTTGAATTCAGCGTATAGATTTACACCACCTCCAGACCTGGCGTTTATTTTTTGCGTATTGTACGCTCACGTCCAGATAGATAAATGCGGAAAAGTGTAATATTTTGCGTACGCCTCATTTACCCTGATTTGGCCGTACGCAGGTTTCATACATGAGGCCCACAGTGAGGCCCACAGTGAGGCCCACAGTGAGGCCTACAGTGAGGCCCACAGTGTGTCTCACACAGGCCTAGAGTTTACCTCATCAGTGCGAGGCCAGCCTGACCCTCCTCCTCTGGGACCTACGGGCCCGGGCCTCTGGCTCCTCTACCTCACAAAGTTCACGCTGAACTTTCTTAAAATTAAAATGAAAAAGGCTGCTCTGTTGTGAATGCTTTGAGAGCGTTGTCAATCTTTAAGACGAGGAATAGCTGGTTGTTCTCGCTTCACGCTGTGTGATATGATATTGGACAAAATTGTTCAGCCAATAAACAGGACTATATTTGAAGCAACGTAGGAACGTGATGACGCTCAGGGGGTTATATTATTATTATAATTATTATTATTATTCCCCCCACTGTAGGAGCCAATACACTTTTCAATATTTTTGAATTCTGAGCGTTTCCAATTGTATTTAAAAATGGGAAACCTAATTAAACAATCATGAATTGAGCGTTTCCGATCTTATTTTACACTGATTCCTTTGATCATTTTTTTCTTAAAGTTCAAGTTGTAAAAATGCTATGTTTGAATTGGTTATTTACATTTTAACTGTGAGTGACACGTAAGGCGGGACAACAATGCACAATGACGCACGCATTCTGAATAGAATAATATGTATTAATATCTCTAAAACTAAAAGAGCATATTCAAGTTTTACAACAAAAACGACGTCATATGCGTGTCCATTATGCGTAAAAGCACAGTGCCCTCAGCAAAACCACGTATTTGGAAAAACTATAGGCTAACAGATGTAGTAGCTCTAGTTTCAATCGTCCTCATTTCATTCAGTCAGACTTGTCAAATATAGATGCCCATGGGAGAGTGAGCAAGGGGAGATAACATGCCCATAACATGCCCAAAAATATCCTGCATAGACTCAAGCTGCGATCAGCTGAAATATGAGCACACAAAGAGCGAGAGGGAAAAATAAAAATAAATATGCTTAGGCTAGTTAGTATTTTTTCTCTCACGAAAGTTGGCGCGGATCATATGCCATCTTTCGTGGAGGAGGAAACATCAAACATCAAAGGGCGCACGCGGGGAACAGCGGGACTAGTCTCGTTGTTGAAGTCCCGATGTTCCCCCACTTCTATAGGCGGGGGAACATCGGACCCGGGGAACATCGGGACTTTTTAATACGCGAAGTACCGATGTTCCCCGGGTCCGATGTTCCCCCGCCTATAGAAGTGGGGGAACATCGGACCCCGGGAACATCGGACCCGGGGAACATCGATACGCACCCCTAGTGTTGCTATGGTGCTGTTGTACATGTGCTAGTTACCATAGCAACACTAGCAACTGTTAGCCTTAGCCTTTCAGCTATCTGCTTTGGCTGTTTCTTGAGCTGTATTCCACTGTTTTAGCACTTTAAAAGTGAGTAAAAGGTTAAGAATATATATATATATGTAGATTGATTTGATAAATCTGGTGGAAAACTAAAGATTTTTTGGCGGGATTTCTCACAGATTCATTGGTTTGAAGTGGAACTGTTCTGGTAGTTTCAGTCCTGATGTCATGAACGATGAAAGCTGGAGGTGAAACATATTTTGTCTCAGGTGTATTTAAACTTATGACTCATGACGGAAGCTGCTCTAAATATTTGACCTAAAGTAAGAGTTGGTAAAGAACGGAGACAGAAGGCGACACATTCCTTTGGCGTTGTACTTTTATGAATCACATTTACTTTCATTTCTATAAAAACTGCATAACAACCCCCATTTCAAGTTTATTTATTCATTTCAAAGCTTTGATTGGGATGCGTAATATTGTTAATTCAATGTTATTAAATCACAACGGCAGTCGTCTCGAGGGATTTAACAAAGTTGTCGATTCGCAAACAACAGACCAGAAAATCAAACCGGTCAAACACAGAAAGTGAAATGACATAAAGGAGCCATTGGTCCTTAGGGACGCATCAGAGAGGAACCACTCAAACCAGCACTGAGGCTTTAGATCCAAGTCTGAAGCTGTAGATCCAGGACTGAGGCTGTAGATCAAGGACTGAGGCTGTAGATCCAGAACTGAGGCTGTAGATCCAGAACTGAGGCTGTAGATCCAGGACTGAGGCTGTAGATCCAGGACTGAGGCTGTAGATCCAGGACTGAGGCTTTAGATCCAGGACTGAGGCTGTAGATCCAGGACTGAGGCTGTAGATCCAGGACTGAGGCTGTAGATCCAGGACTGAGGCTGTAGATCCAGGACTGAGGCTGTAGATCCAGGACTGAGGCTCTGGATCAAGGACTGAGGCTGTAGACCCAAGACTATTCATGGCTGTTGTGTATTCCTTGAGATCAGAGGGCCCTGGTCTTCAGTGACTCAGGTTTTACTATAGAGGGTGATGTCACAGCTTCTTCTCCGCTCTGAATGACTAATGCGTCTTGTGAGGGTGCAGATGTGGGAGCGGGCCGTGGTCATTCATCTCCATCTGGAAAGCTCTGGGGTTAGCTGAGGAGAGGCAGCTCTAATGCAAGCTCCTGCTGAAGCTGAGAAGCAGCTCTCTCTCTCTGGTCTCTCTCACTGGTCTCTCTCTGGTCTCTCTCTGGTCTCGCTCCGGTCTCTCTTACTGGTCTCTCTCTCTGGTCACCGTCTCTAGTCTCTCTGGTCTCTTTCAGGTCTCTCTCTGGTCTCTCCCTTGTCTATCTCTGGTCTCTCCCTTGTCTATCTCTGGTCTCTCCCTTGTCTATCTCTGGTCTCTCCCTTGTCTATCTCTGGTCGCTCTGGTCTCTCTCTGGTCTCTCTCTGGTCTCTCTCTTGTCCCTCTCTGGTCTCTCTCTGGTCTCTCTCTGGTCTCTCTCTGGTCTCTCTCTGGTCTCTCTCTGGTCTCTCTCTGGTCTCGCTCTGGTCTCTCTCTTGTATCTCTCTTGTCTCTCTCTGGTCTCTCTCTGGTCTCTCTGGTCTTTCTCTGGTCTCTCTCTGGTCTCTCTCTGGTCTCTCTCTGGTCTCTCTCTGGTCTCGCTCTGGTCTCTCTCTTGTATCTCTCTTGTCTCTCTCTGGTCTCTCTCTGGTCTCTCTGGTCTTTCTCTGGTCTCTCTCTTGTCTCTCTTTTTCTAAAGTCCTATATGAATGTGCACACACTAACACCTGAGTGGAGTTGTTTTGGAGTATCATGTGTGCGTGTGTGTGTCTTTGTGTGTGTGTGTGTCTTCTTGTGTCTTTGTGTGTGTGTGTAAGTGTCTTTGTGTGTGTGTGTCTTTGTGTGTCTTTGTGTGTGTGTAAGTGTCTTTGTGTGTGTGTGTGTGTGTGTCTTTGTGTGTCTTACAGGTTTTAACCAGTGTGAACTTGTCAAACGTGCCACTTCCTTTAGTCCTGGCTCCAGCTGTTTCCTTTCTTTGACTTATGTACAATAACACGCAATATGGGCCTCCATTATTAAGAAATATATAACAATAATAATAATAAATCATCATTTCAGAAACTGGCACAGGACAGAAGGACACTTTTATATGTTTAAACCACTTCTCTATAGTTTTGACCTGGAAATGACTTATTTAACTTATTATTTAAGACATTTTACGTTAATACTGAACTTTACAATTGCTTTCGGACCTTGGTCTGTAGAATGCGCTATATACATAAATATTACTGTCGGCTCCGCTCAGACCACAGATCATGTTGGCGATCAGGGGATTTTTTTGCTCTAACTCTGAGTGTGTCCATGACCAGGAGAAGTAACTTGGTCCAAATCTGAGTAAAGTAGCTTTCCTTTTTGTTCTTTTTTAACATTTTAAAAACATTGCTCTTCGTCAGTCACCGACCCGGAGTGGTTTTTGCTCCATCCGCGCTACTTTACTCTTGCTGCTTGTGTTTGCATTGCACTTTAGTTTCTGGTACCGTATCCCAGAAACCAAATCACAACAAACCAGTTCACGGGGAAATTTCTTGGTAACCATGGCTTTCAGCAGCACTCTGGCCAATCACTGTCAGAACACTTTAGTACCAGCTCGGCAAGGATAGAACCAAGACCAAGAGGGACTAAAGAAGGACCTGGTACTGGTTCAACAGGAGTAGAGTAGAGTAGAGTAGAGTAGAGTAGAGTAGAGTAGAGTAGGTGGAAACAGGGCTAAAGTTACACGCCACAGCTTTAAGAGGCAATAATGCAGGCTGTTGTTTTTCTACTTTGCTTTTACATATTTTCTCTGGTTCTTTTTTGCCGCAGCTTTAATCCTCGCAGTGTGAGACGAGTCACAATCTCGTCAGAAACATCTCGATGTCGAACACTGGGCTCTTTGTGGTTAAGTTGATAATTGCTCTATTAAAGCTCGGCTCTGTAGTTTCCGTGTGACGTGTGATTGGATCTGTCAGCAGAGAGCCCCGAGCCAACTTCCTGCTTTAAACACACTGTATTTACTGTCAGTCACTGCGCCACAGATATGAAGCTACCAGGACTCCCACAGCCGTCATTTTGACTGCTCCCAGGACTCCCACAGCCGTCATTTTGACTGCTCCCAGGACTCCCACAGCCGTCATTTTGACTGCTCCCAGGACTCCCACAGTCGTCATTTTGACTTCTCCCAGGACAGGACTCCCACAGCCGTCCTTTTGACTTCTCCCATTACCCATAGGGAATCTGAGAAAAAAAGAATGTTGATAATAGTCTAAAACGTGTTCAATTCACTAATATACATCAACAACTTCCTCTGGTAACTACAACATTCTCTTCTCTGGTGGAAAACCAAGCTGAACTAGTCCAGAATCACTCCCGAACCAGTCCAGAAACTCCTGCCGGTTCTGCCTCAGTCCTGGCTCAAACCTGGTTAAAACCTGGCTCAAAGCTGGCTCAGACCCGGCTCAGTCTGGCTCTGTCCTGGCTCTGTCCTGGCTCTGTCCTGGCTCAGACCTGGCTCAGACCTGGCTCAGACCTGGCACAGTCCTGGCTCAGTCCTGGCTCAGACCTGGCTCAGACCTGGCTCCGTCCTGGCTCCGTCCTGGCTCCGTCCTGGCTCCGTCCTGGCTCCGTCCTGGCTCAGTCCTGGCTCAGACCTGGCTCAGACCTGGCTCAGACCTGGCTCCGTCCTGGCTCCGTCCTGGCCCCGTCCTGGCTCAGACCTGGCTCAGACCTGGCTGAGACGTGGCCCAGTCCTGGCTAAGTCCTGGCTCAGACCTGGTTCAGTCCTGGGTGGTCCTTGTGAGGGAGCATGTCCGTCTCCATATGTGGAAGAGCTCGGAGTGCTGAGGTGTCGGTCCTCACACAGACTCACCTCAGATTAGGTCTATATTTGTCCTGGTCCAGAACAGACCACATGGTTCTCTTTGTGTCTCATGGTTTCAACAGGAAACAGAACAAGACCAGAGAGAGAGACAAGAGAGAGACCAGAGAAAGAGACCAGGGAGAGAGACCAGAGAGAGAGACCAGAGAGAGAGACCAGAGAGAGAGGCCAGAGAGAGAGGCCAGAGAGAGAGACCAGAGAGAGAGACCAGAGAGAGAGACCAGAGAGAGAGACCAGAGAGAGAGACCAGAGAGAGAGACCAGAGAGAGAGACCAGAGAGAGAGACCAGAGAGAGAGACCAGAGAGAGAGACCAGAGAGAGAGACCAGAGAGAGAGACCAGAGAGAGAGACCAGCGAGAGAGACCAGAGAGAGAGACCAGAGAGAGAGACCAGAGAGAGACCAGAGAGAGAGACCAGAGAGAGAGACCAGAGAGAGAGACCAGAGAGAGAGACCAGAGAGAGAGACCAGAGAGAGAGACCAGAGAGAGAGACCAGAGAGAGAGACCAGAGAGAGAGACCAGAGAGAGACCAGAGAGAGACCAGAGAGAGACCTAAAGAGAGGCCTATATGAGAGGTGCTATATGAGAGACCAGAGAGAGAGACCAGAGAGAGAGACCAGAGAGAGACCAGGGAGAGACCAGAGGGAAGGATCATAGAGAGAGACCAGAGAGAGAGACCAGAGAGAGAGAGACCAGAGAGAGCGAGACTAGAGAGAGAGAGATCAGAGGGAGATCAGAGAGAGACCACAGTGAGACTAAAGAGAGGCCTATATGAGAGGTGCTATATGAGAGACTAGAGAGAGACCAGAGAGAGAGACCAGAGAGAGAGACCAGAGAGAGAGACCAGAGAGAGACTAGAGAGACCAGAGAGAGAGACCAGAGAGAGAGACCAGGGAGAGACCAGAGGGAAGGATCATAGAGAGAGACCAGAGAGAGAGACCAGAGAGAGAGACCAGAGAGAGAGACCAGAGAGAGACCAGAGGGAAGGATCATAGAGAGAGACTAGAGAGAGAGAGATCAGAGGGAGACCAGAGAGAGACCACAGTGAGACTAAAGAGAGGCCTATATGAGAGGTGCTATCAATCAATCAATCAATTTATTTGAGCAGGTCATACAAAACAAAACACAATCCAATAGGAAAACATTTCAAGAAAAAGTAGACACAGCTCAAAGGGAGTAAGCCGAAGTAAAATACTTGTGTGAGCTTACCCCAATTACATGTTCACATTTACATCGTTTTTCAAATAGGTGTGTGTGTGTTGTGTGTTGTGTGTAGTGTGCGGTGTGTTGTGTGTGTGTGTGTTGTGCGTGTAGTGTGTTGTGCGCAGTGTGTTGTGTGTGTGTGTTGGAGTGGGTACACATGCATGTGTGTATATGTTTGTTTCTGATAGTGCATGAGTGCTGTGTGTATTTGTATGTGTACTTGTGTTTATGCCTGGGTATAAGTGTATGTTTGTGTTTGTGTGGATGCACCCAGATGGAAATGTATGTGTGCATGTGTGCGTGTGCCTGAGTGGGTATATGCATCTGTGTGTGTGTGTGCACATTTGTTAGCCATGAGCATATCCAGAAGTGTGTTTGCATGTACTACACATGTGTGTGTCCCGAGCTTCACACATGCACGCGTCCACACCCCTCAGTGTCTGAGCACATGCTTATGCAATGAAGACCCAGCTGTAGGAAAACCGTAAGCGCGCACACACCTGACACAGTGTGCACGTGTCTACAGATATTTACAGGATGAAGATCACCTGCATATTCTCACATTCGTAAACATGAGCATATACAGCAAGTGCTGTACATTGTGCCGATAAATAAGGTCATTATTCAGTAAACAGAAACTCCAAGCAGGCTACAGTAGGAAGTCTACTGTGTACCCAGTACAAGTACAATATGTGAGTTAGTAGGTTTGGCTAGACTAGTGAGAAAGCAGTTTCATAACAGATTTACAGTCCTTCTTCAACTTCATATTTTTTTAATACGCTTACCTTACAGTCGTTTGAAATTCACTAATGAGGTAGTACATTTAAGACAATCCGTTAATTCATTCCATAAGTCCACTCCCCTTCGGGTAATGAACATGTTTTTTAAAGTAGTATGAAAACGCTGTTTCTTAAAGTTCAGTTGGCCTCTTAGATTGTATTTTGAGTCCCTTTCAAGGAACAGATTTTGAATATGGTTTGGAAGCAATTTGTTTCGAGCTTTGTACATGATCTGTAATGTTTTATATTCAACTAAGTCTT